CAGCAAAAAACAATGTGTAAGTGTCTTGAAATCCTTGAAGGAAAAAAAATACAATAATCTCATCCCACCTCTTCCTACGTTATAACACAATATACAACGGATCTCAACAAACAAATAAATATGTAAAATTGAACACGAAACCTTTAATATTATACATCATGTATATTTATGTACATAAAAGGTATATAATAATCTATTAATTATTACCATGTAACAAACCAAATTGTTACGTGTAACATGTATCATCACGTATGTAAACGTATTTTTAATAACAATAATGTAATGTACCATACAAGTCGCTAATGCCTACAAAGAGTGCGACCTTAAATAAATAAATTCAACAAAAGAATTTCTGCTTGTAACATTAATAATTATAATTTAGCTTATACGACACTTATTAATTGCAAAAGCTTCGGAAAATGTAAAAATAATGAGAAAGTTTAACGTTATACTCGTATGCATGGGTACATGTAAGAGCATTAAACTATAAAGAATTGCGCAATCGACTGTGCGATAAAATAAAAATATGAATGCTCCCTTTTCCATCAGTTCATAATCTGATTATGGTATGACGAGTTTGCAGAAAAGAATTTAAAAAATATATCATAGCTTATCGTTAACACCCTATAAATTGAAATAACAGACTGAACAAGCAGCGAGAAAATCCAATGCAAAATAATAGAGCAAATTATGTTTCACGCTCGCCAAGCATAATCAAATTAAATTTCAATAGAAACAGGCATGCAAAGAAAGCAATTTTCCAATTGGAAACATCGCTCGCGCCACTGGTTTTGAAATCACTCATTCATTCTTAAATTAGTCGACGGAAGAAAAAAAAAACGCGCGTTAATCAATCAAGCTGCTATCGATTTTCTGCAGCAATAGCTTATTTCTTTGTAAAACTGTGAAGAAAACGTAAGTCCCAAGAGACATGTAATTCACTTGTTCGTTGCAGAGTAAAGGCTCCCCTTTTGTCGAAAAAGATCCGAATCGACAGGTCCCACGAGTATTGAAACGATTATATACTAGGCTGCTGTCGCTTTTGTCTTCGCCGTTCGAGAGAAACAGAGAGAGAGAGAGAAAGAGAGAGAGAGAGAGAGAGAGAGAGAGAGAGAGAGAGAGAGAGAGAGAGAGAGAGAGAGAGAGAGAGAGAGAGAGAGAGAGAGAGAGAGAGAGAGAGAGAGAGAGAGAGAGAGAGAGGGAGAGAGAGAGACAGAGAGGGCCCGTGAGAATGTATCGCATGCCAATTTCGTGTGCGGCACAAGCCAATCTCTTTCCCGCTGACGATGCGTCATAGATAAGGCAAGCAATGGATTCTCGACCAAGCGACCATGCTGATTGTGAAAAATGCTACAGGGCACACACACGCGATGGTGAACTGTCGACCAAATTTGATGTGGATAGCAGCAACTTTTTGCACTTGTATTCGGGATGCTTGTCCTTCTCTTTCTCTTTCCTCTTATTCCTTCCTCTTATAAAAAAAATAACCTAACAAAGTGAAGCCAGTTTATTCGAGATTTGATTGTCTGAAAAATAGTTACGTGATTAGCTGTTATGTGATTGTTTATATATATGTCGTGTATACTCATGAAAAATTACAGATTTCGTAGATTAAATGTTCAAAAATTGTATCGGTATAGTTGGCATGAAATTAATATGATTAATTAATTTAATTATACTAACCTCAAAATAAAAATCGATTGATATCTCAATATATAGAGAATTAATTGAATTTTATTTTAAGTGAAAGTTAAGATTTGAATAAAGTAAGAAATAAAACATAAAACGATAGATTATTGTAAGATATTGTACAGTGATTTTGGCTTTTATAAATTACGTAAAATATTAGAACATTTTTTAAAAATACACTAATTACAACTGTGAATGTCCAATTAAGTATTATATGATTATAAAAAACTATAATGATTTTAGAACTTATGTTATATTTTTTATTGTGTTTTTCAAATTTTTGAATAATGATATTTCAATACATACCTTTGGATGATAAAATCTTAAAACTTCACTAATAACGTTTTTAAATCATTAATATCAACGTAACTGTATATTTATTTACCAATAAATAATATCGTCAGGAACGAAAAAAAAAAACAACAAAACGACCTGTCAGTTTTGAGTTTTTACGTGACTTAACATATATATCGAACTAGACATGTAGAAGAACGTTGTTTTGTTAATACTTTTAACATCATGTCGGCACTTATTTCTTGAAAGCTTCTACATTATTCATTCAAAATTTTAGTAGTATCTCGAATTGAACATTATACTATAAATCTATATACATAATATTAGATAAAATATTACTTTATAAACTGTGTTTAATAAGATTATGAATATTAAATGAAAAATAATTCAAAACATTAGTTACCGACTAATAAGGAGAGCGGCACACCTACGGTTACTGATTACCTATAACTTTTTTTGTCAAATATATAAAAATATATAACTCTTGTAACAGAAATAGGAAATGTAGATACAAGAATATAATTTTCGACACTCCGTGCGACACTCGCTTCGCTTGGGCGTAAACGCCACACGAGACAAGAATCTACTTTCCCGCACTTGTATCGTAATGTACTATTTCGCGGGAGCTATCCGAGAGAGAGAGAGAGAGAGAGAGAGAGAGAGAGAGAGAGAGAGAGAGAGAGAGAAACAATCTATCAGTTCGCTGTCAGAACTGGATTGGACTCTGTTTTCTTCCTGAACACAGGAAGAAAACTGACTAGCAGGGGTTTTTCTTCTATCGCAAATCCTTGGAAGGCCCCGCTCGTCTCAAGCCCTAAACGGCGCGTGCCTTCGTTCTTCCCTGTTTTTTCGCTGTTGCCACTCTTCTTTCTCTTTCTCGTTCTCCCTCCCACTATCGCTCGTTCTCTTATTCGCCACCCAAGCGATCTCAGGGTCAGCTATATGCTGACCCGTTCCGCTCACGTGTGAGGATCTAGCCGGGAGGTGGATCTGTGGTACCCAGGAGGATCATCTCCCTCGCAAGGATTTATCTCCTCGAAGCTGGAAGAGGGTTTCACGGCCACAATAACACCATAAAGCGCTCATGCACGTCCATGGGCTAGAAGACGAGCTGCGAGAGAAAAATAATTAAGCTGGTATCTACTTTGGCACAACCAAATATGTCGCTCGCTGTTTACATATATAGAACGTATACTTTAACGCTTTTGGTTTACATACAAACTTATTTTCTAATGCGCTCGCAATTTACATAAAGATTCTTAATTTTGCGAGAATAAAACTAACTTTCGCGTCACAAATTATTTATAAAAATCCTAATAAAGGTCCTTGGGTCTGTCGCCTAAGTTGAAGTCCTTTGTGCCCCCTTTTATGGCGGTAACACGTTTGAAGAGTTTCGCCGGTATTGGGATTTTTTTTGGTTTTCTTCAATAGTTTTATTGCACATTCGTGTTCCTCGGCCTCTTACTCTTAATTGCGAGCTACTTAAAAACTTGTTTCTACGGTGCATGTTCGAACAGAAAGACGATAGAGGATATTTGCGTTCTCAACAATGTATATCAAACCGTTTCAAAGTCACTTCCAAAGTTAAAGGCAAATCAGCGATCCGCACATGTGACACCCTCATTGTAAGCACTTAGTGGTCTCCTAAAGTTTTTTCTCAAATAAATAAATGAATTGTATTGAACCTTATTTTGCACATTCATTGTGCTCAAAACAAATCGCCTTTAATTCAAAAGTTGAGTGCCTTTTGTTTATAAAAAATTAGTGTTCCCAAAAAGTTTCAACGTAATTAACTCATTTGTTTGAGAGAAATCCTTGTAAAACCTTCAGCTTAGTCGATGATGCAAGAAAACTGGTCGGGAAAGCTTCGTACAACGGTGTGAACGATTTTCGCACATATGATGATTTCTATTTGGGCAAAACGGCTTGTTGTATAACATTTCGATATTTTTTCCTTATTAATTTTGTGGTTATAAAATGATAATTTGAGTAGAAAAAGTTTTAGATAAAAGTTTTTTTCCTTGTGTATGTGGACAGTTTTGACTCTTTTCACTACAGGCGGCTGTATTCGGGTTTTTCCATACAGAGTAAATTCGATCGGTAAATGGGTCCCATACGCACGAACAGCTCCTCCTAGTGTAATAGCGCTATTACATACTAGGAAGAGGCAGGAAAGGGAATTCATTACACTGGAGGATGGTTCATTCTTCAGTAAAACTTTCACTCACCACATGGGGCGTATGTTAGATAAACGAATAGTAGTTTTGCTTTGACGCGACAAAGACATGGTTTTGACAGTACATGTTTGTGCCAGCAGATTCAATAGTATCGGCAGTGTTTTTAATAAAAGACTTAAAAAAACATGAATGTTATTTATTATACTTAATATATTGTAAACTGTGGATAGTTGCATCGTTTATGACTCATTTACCGACCGATTGTTCTCGCTATCTAAAATCATACGGGCTTGCCAGAAATGAAATATTCTTAAATTTCGACACTCCGTGCGCAAAGTGCGTCTTTCTTGCACGCTCGACAGAAAACGTGCGTTGAAAATCGCACTTTCCACACGTCGTATAAAAAAATACGGTAGGGCACATGTTCGGGAAAGAGTTTATCTTTTATCACTTGTATCGTAATGTACTATTTAAACATCAGGAGTACTTTTTCTTAATTTACAAGGCTATTTTCGGCACGAAAATATATGCGGAAGGTTCAAAAATATCTATATTGCCGTCACATACAGTTTTCTTCTAAATACAAAAGCTGAATAATCAAATTAATAAAAGTAACGTTAACATTAGATTCTGATTAAGAACATAGTCAACAATGTATCGTTATAAATAAGGGACAGTTACATTTGACGTGATTGTAGGCAACGTTGCATGTGGTTACTCGCAGAGTACGAGAGCCGGCATCATTGCAATCGCTCACTTCTCGTATATATAATATATGAAGCAAATTCATCATCAAATGAACGAGTTGGTGCAGTTGACTCAGTTGTCACTGTAGCCATCATGAAGCTTAACGTTTATTTAACGTCGGATTAATTGTTCATAATAGTAAAACGTTATATTTTACAAAAAATTATTTAGCGTCTTATTGGAACTAATTGATACAGTGGAGCATAACGTTTACAATTATTTATACTGTTTGTGATAAAGTTATTGTGTCGGTATATGTGTAGTGTTTTTTAACAAAGTTGCATTTAATGGCCGTATTTAAACATGATTGTCTATTATCAAATAGAAATAACTTTGGCATTTAATCATTATTTAAAAAAATGACTACATACGGGATCTACTTTATGTAAAAAGTATTGCAATTGATTTAAAAAATATTTAAACTTGCACTCGTAATTTATTACAGCGGGTAATTACCGGAGATACTTTTTATAAGAAATAGCTTTGACTATCGCATTTGAAATAAAATTATTCAATACTAGAAATAAATATACTTCTTGCAGATCAGCAATGTTGAGAATGAAAATTACAACTGCGGTGTTTTATTATATTTCTCAGCTGTATTACGTCTGTGCTATAGTAAAAATTCAACAAAGACAACTTGAGTTTACTAAACACGAGTTAATTTTTGGTCATGAGTCATTTAAAGATGGAAAACTTACGTATGCTGTGTGTAAGAGCAACGTCACGTCCAACGAAAAATTATGTATAGTGACACGCGAGAAAGAACCTTTCTCCAACAATACTTTAAGTTGCAATGTAACTCTCAAAATTTTAGCGATGAAAAGTAATGATAGAGAAATTGAGGAATCGATTGGACTAGTACCTTTTGCAGGAGACAAAGCTATCCTTTATGTGGTCCAAAAATACAGACGTACAAAAGTTAAATTTAACACTATTCAATTCCATGGATGCAACGTTATCGAGACTCACATAACAGTTTCAAAATTCGTTTTTTCCAAGTACAATATAATGGTAATCCCTTATAGTAACTCTTACGATGTCGTCTATCCGAGCACATCAAAAGGTTTTCAAAAAATAACCATTAATCTGAATGGTGAACGAATTAATGGACCGATTGATCTGGGCTATTTTTTATGGCTTGTACATTTTCCTTATATTCTTCCGATTTCTCAAAAGTCACGGAGAAAAGGATTTGTTTACTTGAGCTTTGTTTTGGATTCGGACTGTCCAGACGGATATAATCTTAATGTGTGGAAACCTGATGGTAAGTCTCTTGAAGATTATATTTGTTTTGATTTTTATAATTATCAGGTGTTAATTCTTTTCAATCTATTATTATCACAACAAGATGCAAAGGAGTAACATTTGTTATAATGTCAATGTTTTGAGACAACCATAAATTTAGTTTTCTAACTTTTTAATCTTTAAGTCAAATTCATGAATCATATACTTTGCTTATAAATAATACTTATTCTGTTTTTTAAGGTTCGGGAAAAATAATTGGCCGGCACACAATTGCTTTACGATCACTCAAGGCAACAGAACATGATCTCGTTAGTATATGCCACGATGATGGCAATTATTCATTAAATTTTGTTAAGTGTACGCAGTATGATATTGATGGGAATCTGAAGTTTCAAACAGACTCAATAGGTACCCAATATGAGTCAATTCTTTTTATCTATAACGCGCCAGGAGGTGGACTTTTTTTGTTTAGTGGAAAATCGAAAAATGAAACCGAAGATATTGATTTTTTCATAGCGAAGTTAGATCCTGCTGGTAAAAACAATGGATTTGTTAGTATAGGAAAAATAAAATTGAAAGCTGAAGCATTAGTGACTAGTTTCTATAAAATTGGGGATAGTGAATACTGTATCTCTCTGGTGGACTATAATGCTTTTGGTATGACTTGTCTTGGAAGGAGCAATCCCTATTACATCGATCAAACTATTGGTTGTTTTAATGACTCCGACTTTTCAATATAATTGGAATTGTAATTGCATAAAAAGCAGAATTATCGGATCAAGAAATATTCTTTTGCATTATGTTTATCGACAAATTTTTTTGTAACGCCATAGTTTGTTTTATAATTATGACGATTTCAAATGAAAATTATTGTTTAAAAAAATAGATATTAGTGTGAATTCGTTGTTTTATAAAAACATTTACTCATAAATAGCTAAATTATTAATCACTATATTCGATTCACGTTGTTTTAGGTCTATCTACTCTGAAGTATTATATAATATACGTTCATCTAACAAGAACCCCCCCCCCCCCCCCCCGCAAAACCCATCCACTCCAATTTCAATAATCTTTTAATATATCCTAGATCATGGAAAAATAAGTAACGCGTATTTTATTTATTTGCTGAAAAACACTTTGGGGGGGGGGGTCCACCCTCAAAAATGAATTTTCCAATGTATCTTAAATTCTAATTGATATTTTACAATGAAATTAATTTTATATTACTTCTCATGTAAATAGAAAACTAGTGCATGAAATTCCGATCGGAAGGAAAGCAACCCTTCTCTTATTTATTGTCAATTCTATGATCTTTGTGCCTATATTTATGAAAAAAATTTTAATTAAGCTAAAAAAATTGGAAAAAATATCGTGGGTTGATTACAATAATAAAGTTGACTCATTCAAGATTATTTTTCGAAAATGAAAAAACCACTCTCAACAAACGTTTTTTAATATTCACAGATCCTAATTGATCATTTACTATGATATACATTGCGTATTTCTTACAAAAATAGTAGAGCTGGTAACAAATAAAAAAGGTTTGCGTTCTTTATGGTCAAAACTGCGTGCACTAGTTCCGCATTACATGAGAAATGAAATGAAATTTATTTCATTGTAAAGCATTAATTAGAATTTGAGATAAATTGCAAAATTCATTTATACAGGTGGATTTTGTTCTCCTCAAAGTGTTTTCTGCAGATAAAAAAATGTGTGTTACTTATCTATGATCTACATTATGTCAAAAGAATATTGAAATCGATGAGGTTGGATTGGGGGGGGGGGGGGTAGTTTCCTTTTAAATCAAATGTTAAAGTTTTAACAAAACAATTATTATAACAAACTTTAAATGTGTGTTCATATGTTTCTATATTAAGGACAATACTGACATGAATGAAAATGATGTTATTTATAAATTTATAAAAAATTTATAAAACTTTGAAATATTTTAGAAAGAAACGATTCTATTGAGGGCTTTATGTGATTGTAATAATTGTAAAACACATTTTTAAATTGAAAAATTGTACGGTCATGAATAAGTAATTTATAAATACTATGAAAATTCGAAATGAACGATGTCTCAACGTAAATTGCAAATATATTAGGCTGTAAACCGTTAAATTTATTTGTTCTGAACATTCAATACAGCATTGACTATTCAGAATGTGGAAATGATTTTTTTTTAAGTTTTGAAAAATGCAAGAAACAAAAGATACGACTTATTTGTAGCAGTTATAGAAAGGGAGCGAATCTAGATTTGATACATTTTCCGAAAGAAACTAGCAAACGAGCTTTGCTTCACGATAATACACTTCAGAAACTTTTCTCTATCGAGCGTAAAGATTTTTCTCTTACTTTTTTTTGTTTCCGAGAGAAACTCCAAACTTGAGAGTCATAAAAAAAATTAACTCTTCCAATAAATAAGTTTTTCTTCTTCGAGCATTTAGCCATTACTCGACCTAGTTCATTGTTTCCATTGAGACTTTTTCAATAATCGACGCAATCTCAGTCAAGACATACACATATATATACGCGAACTTCTTTTCGCGGCTGTGGCTGTCTACATTAGGTGGAGGGCTTTAACTAAGGAGAACTTATTTTCCGTTTGACTTTGCCTTGTTTGCGAAACAACGACTAACAGAGCGCTCAGTTTAGAACAAACAGCCAAATAAATAAAATATTGCATTGTTATATAATGTTGTAAGGAAGAAGAGAAAGAAAAAAAGATATCTTTATCATATATACACACAGGGAAAAGTTTATTTCGGTGCACGAATGAAGTGGCCTTGCTCTCTTTTCTCGATCTATATTTCTTCGACGCAGGCAAGCGTTTACTCGGCGAGTTCTTGCCAACTTCATTTAACTTCTCTATCTGAGAGCTATCCGACAGCTCTGCTTGGTAAAACCAAAGTATACAGCGCCACACTTTGCCGTCGATTTTGACTTCCGTTAGCTTTTGGCATAGGTAGTTTCGCATTCACAGAGGAAATTTGACCAATCGAAAAAGAAAGAAAATGTCTGCTTACAACAAAGTTTCACCCCGAGAAGAAGGGTGTTGTCGCAACCAAAAATATCGAGACCCAAGTTTGATCTACGACACTTGGAAAACGCCAAAGACCGCTTCCATTTGCCGGAATAAGGGGGCGCGAAGAGAGACTGCAGTATTAGCGCGTTTGCTTAGTGAGCAAAAGTACTTGGGTGAGCTCTCTCTTCTTGGCGATTTTTGTATATACCAGGCGATTCAGCATCGGAGCAAGCAAAATAAGGCAAACGCGCAGTCAGATAATCCTCAGGGAATTCCCTCACGAGCCTTTGTGACACGTATAGTCGAAGCACGTGAGCGAGTCTCTTTTTCTCAACTCGCCTTATTTGAGCACACCAAGCACGTATCGCGCTTCTTTGTCCTTTCTGTTTTGTTCCTGCTCTTATTGTCATTGCTAGTAACCCGCCAAAAATCTCAGATTTTCGTTGGTTTTCCGGTGATTAATTAGGACCAAAATAATTTCCACGTGTTGATTGCTAAATTGGCTTCTCTTGAATGCTCATTAAGCCCCATGTGTACAATAATTTGTTAGCCGAACACACCTAATATAACTCGCTTATAGCACTCACTCGGGTGTATCATGATCAAACGAAAGAGCGTTTGTACGTATAATTGAAATAGAGCTCTTTACTCTCGAACCTTTGTTTGCTTCTCATTGCAAAAACTGTTAACGTCTTATTTGCCACGAGATCGCCTTATGCATCCAATTCTCGTAATATCAATTAACCGTCATTTTTTCTCACTCACCAATTATTCGAGCCTGAACAAGAAGTTCAATGCAGTTTAGGGTACCACGAAACGAGCCACTGGAAAGTTTGCAAGTTCGCGGCTGTAAAATTCCCCAAAGATCCGAAAAACTATTCTCGGGGCGCAACGCAAACGATGAACTTAAAGACGCGAGGAAAGACCAAGTTTCGGACTCATTTTGTCAGCGTGCAGCGCTTACGGATTTGGGTTGGGTTTCGCTCTGGAATCGTAACGGGATTCGCCCATAGCGCTGATATAAATCTCCCGAAAGGAAAACCTCCTTGGGGCTACATTTATTTTAGGCGAAAAATCGGATACTTTTTGTGTTCTCGCGATCTTCTTCCTTCGTTTTTTGTCTAGCTTATTCATAATTATATTAAACCGTTTTACTATGTCAAATACAGGGAATACTCATTCACAGAAGCTATAGTACAATTTTTTTTATCGAACTGTCATTGGCAACTATTCGAATGTGCATATATATAGCGTACTATCATTTCCAGAGTTTGAATGCCTTTTGATTAGTTTTTAATAATAATAAATATAATTACTTCTCAACAGTTTAAAGAAATCAGAGTCAACCACTAAATTTGGCACATTCGACAACTCATATAACAATCGACACCGTACAGAATACATATACGTGTAGTAAGGCATATTGTTGAAGTTACATTTGTCATGATCTCTAAATTGACACGTTACGAAATCGGTCGTTCAAAAATCATTATTAATATATTTTACGATTCCGTAAGAATTTAGCATATTGGTAGTGTGACGCTTTAATTCTAATCCAATTTTTACCTGCAATATCACTGTTGGGTACCTCTGATAGAAATTTCATTAAGTATAAATAGGGAATATATTGTCTATATCCTATAAAAATCTAAAATTAAAAAGAATTTATTATAAATTAACAATATTTTTTTGTGTAAAAATTTTAGGAAACAGCAAAAGAACGTACTTCGATCGAGTTTTTATTAGGATTCTGTGATAACAAACGCAACATTAAAACTTGATTTCAGGCAGTCGTTTTTGTAAGACGTTTGTCTTTGCGGGTACTTCTAATTATTGATGGAATTTACTTTCATTACCCATCTTTCAGATTTAAATATTATTTTTAAGTTTTCTGTTACTGCAGACTGAAGTTTGCTAGTTGTACATGTCTTTGCTATAACGTAATATTTTGTGTTTTTGTTAGTTGCACACAGAAGCATAGTTGAGTATTGCGTTTTTTTTTGTGAATAACAGGCAAGAATAATAGAAAGTTTAGCTATCGCGTGGAAAGATCATGCTCCTTTTTTGTTTTTCTAAAAATTCAACAATTTCGACCACTATGGTTTCTTCTATGCCATGTTCTTTTATAACAGCAAATGTTGCAATGACATATGCCAAGGATTGGAAAAGAGTGCTCGAAGATGAAAATTCCGGATTGTTATATTTTTTCTTGGTGAATAGGCGTTGCCGACTTCAGGAACACATACATAAAATTGTACTGTCATGCTAGAAGAAGGGAAGAGCCCCATTCGCTAAGAAAAAGAAAAGAATAGTCCCGGATTTTCATCATCGAGGATTCATTGAAGCAGGCAGGCGCGCGCGACGCTTGTGCGACACCTGCCGATTTATGGTGCTACAGGTGGCCCGTAATCTCGGCTATTACCCGATCGGGGCCTACCGTAAAAATATTGCTCCTTTGCCAATCGGTTGCTAGCGCGTTGCATTTATCATCTTTTGTATTTTCAATTGAAAAATGTCGTCGGGAAATATCGGTTAATCAAAGTGTGAATAAATTTGTACTTAACAAATACCCCGACGAAGCCAACTGTGTGAATAAATAAATAAATGCGAAGCAGTTTGTAGCAATATTCGAGTGCACGAAAATCATTGAGCCGGAAAGAGAATGAAATTCATCGAAATCTCGAGTTGATTGTTTATTTAACGAATACTTGATATGCATCTCGTGTGGCAGGTCGAAATTGCCCTCTATTCATCGGCACGTTTAGCATGCCGAATCCTGTGTAATTCGCTTGCAAATTCAATATTTGCAATAAATTCGCGTAGCTGTTGAGGGCAACGCGAACGCGCTTTCGTCCGTCCTCTCTCGCGTTGCATTATTTTACTTTCGAGGAATATCATAGGAGGATCA